GGGGGGGGTACACTTTTTAACTCTAGGGAAAAAGATTTTCTATCACCTCTCCAAGACTGTCACTAGCAATAATGTCACTTTAGCCAGGTCACTCACTTACTGGTTTTAAGTTTGGGCTTACAAATAGTGGATAAGATTCACAGCATGTGCAGGCACAATCTGAGAGGATAAACAGGTTATCACAGCCACAGGAAAAAAGTCTTTCATAGAAGAGTATACCATTGTTGTTTCATTTTAGAAGCCAGAATTTCTATTTACCATTTTTAGAAGCTCCAAAACAGAAAAGTCTAAGTGAGGACACTAGAAATTTTCTTTTAGCATTTAGCTTTCACTCCAAACATGGAGACAGAAGGAACCCTGGAGATCTGACAGAGGCATACACAATCAGGTAAAATGGCATTGAAGTTTGGATGGTAGAATTATGCTTCTAGAAAGGATCTGACTGAATTGCAGGATAATTCAGGAAATAGAGGAACATGGCATGTGATTTTCCACTAGTAAGTCTCTTATCTGCATTTTAGTTAGACAGAAGTAATGAAGCCAAAATACTACTTTTAAATGGGTTTTTATCCATTTTTATTATTTTTAAATTACATTGCAATGAGAGAGAAAACTTATTTGGGGACAGTATGAAAAGAGATGCAAACTAACCAAATGTCAAAACTCACTGTTAATAACTCAGTCTGTGAGGTTTCCTTCACCTTCCTCTGCACAAAGAAGTTGCAGTCTGTGATTTCTGAGTATTGTTTTTCTTTTTTCCCTTCTTGTATCCCACCATTTCTCCAGGCTGGGATTACAAAAAACACTGGCATTCACTTTATTTAACAGTTTTGCTGAAACACAGTTCTATTGTTTTTATGGTAGCAGAGTTACCTGAGTATATGACAAGCTATACATACACATAGCTCAGACTGGAAGATAAAAATCAGTAGAGAGGGTTTGGTTTTAAATAAGCAGCCTGTTCGACACTAAACTTCATAGCTGGAGTTAAAAATGGCAAGTAAAAGGTGAATGTTCAGCATTCAAGTTTCACCATCACATCAGATGATTTAATACCATCACACAGCCTCAGACTGCATTTTGTTCATCAGTCATAAGATTTGGCATGATCCTGCCTGACCTGCTTGAGAGCAGGCTGAGACGATGCCATACAGCTCCCATTTTGTTGCCAAAATCTAGATCAGCCATATCTAAGGGAGCAGGACTTCAGAACATGTCTGTCAGTTCTGGCAAGTATTGCAGCTGCTGAAGACTTGGCAGAAAGGTGGCTTGGTAAAGGGTGCAGTGCAGCTCCCTTCACACCTTGGAGCAGCACAGAAACCTGTGGCAGGCAGGGTCTCACAGAAAACTGCCTGCAAAGGCACATGAAAGTCACCAGAGCCAGCTCCATAAGGATAAATCCCTAATGAGATGATACTTTGCTACACCATAGACTAGCTTTCCTCCCTCATTCCTGCAGTATACTTTAGGTCTCCCTGGGGGGTATAGTAGTTTTTTAATTCACTGACTTTACAGTCATTTTAAAGAAATGCAGTTTGGTCTCAGAGCCTAATAGAAGCTACTATTTAAAATGCTTACAGAGTCCCCATTAAATTAGTATCAGATGACCTCTTAATGTACTTCTCTCTATCATGCCTTGTGTACAGAGCACAAGTATCTTTCTCTGTGAAAACAAGACAGAGACACAGCCACAGACAAAGTGTGCAAAGATCAGATTTTTGTTTTCTTTAAATGGAGACAAGTATAGGCACCAGTATGCAATGATGATGGTGTTCAGGTATCTGCCTCTGAATGATGTTTCCAAACCATGCAAGTAGCCTGCTGTGGAACAGAGCCTTGAACACATCCTCCAACAGGAGATCCATCCTTCAGCTTAAACAGAGCCTCTTTCTGCATGTGAGGCACTGGAGTGCTAGTTTAGTTCACTGTCTTTCAGACTCATCACACCCAATATTACACAAAATAACTAGCTAGACCTCCCTGCAGTACATTTAAGGGCATAAATGACACTAGGCAGCTGATAACATTCTATT